TCATTTACACAACAAAAATATTTGTAAGCAACTAGGAAAAAGGAGTCAGTGGCCTGAGCTTCAGGCAAGCATGGGACATTAATTACAAGTAATTTTTTATTGTCCTTTCCCAAGCCTTCATGAATGATGACCATTCTGCAAATTAAATCTTGCAGGTGTTTAAAGGGATAAAAGTAGCCAGGTCACTCACTAGATTAACAAGGCAATTGTTACACATTTCTTCTGCACTACTAGGTTCTATAACTAAGTGAGAAGCTGACTCTTTCTGGGATATGGTCAAGTTTAATAAAATGACCAATAGTCTAAATAAAACATTATTTCAAATCATATGATGATTCAAGCTAATTAACAACAGGTTCTTCCAAAAGTAGTACCTTCAAAGAAAAGATTACTTTGTATCTGGTAACACTGTTTGAAAGTAAAATAATACAGTAGGGAGCCTCCCGGGTGGCCAAGGGGTTAGGTCTCAGTGCTATCACTGCTAGAACTGAGTTCAATTCCTAGTCAGGGAGTTGATCCACGTATGGCGCAGCAGACCTCCTGTCTCGCCCGCTGCACCTCTCAGCAACATACTTTGTCCATCTGTCTGTTCTGCTCCCCACTCTGTCTCTGGTGAATCCTCTCACCCCTTGCATCTCTGGCCTGCACCCCAGTTCTTCTATGCAAAAATAAATAAATCTTTTAAAAATTAAAATAATACTATAAAACAGTATTTCCCTCATAGCATATGTTATCATTACTAGGAGATCTAGTGACATAACCTGCAAATGTTATCTCTGTCTACATAACCTCTTTATTTTTAATTATTCCTTATCTCTTATTCTGATAGGCTTATTTCCACTGTGGTCTGTTGGGGGAAAGCAATGTTATGATACTGAAGAAATATTTCTATCTATTATTGTCTCAGATTGTGTCAAAACTAGAACAAGGAAGCAAAACTTTGGTGCTCCCAGGAATTTATGTCCTTTACTAAAGACACTAAAGTACCAATGTCACTAACCCATGAACACAACAAATTTGAGATGTGAACAAGGAAAGAAAATACCCTCCCATTATCTGGATGGCCATTTGTCTTAAGTTTCAATTTCCTGCTTGATTTGTAGACATTAATTTACACAACAGGATATTTCCCGTGTAGAAGGAAAAAGATCAAGCACAAGATATTCTGAAATGACTACTACTGGCAGTCTTGTTTGTTACTCTTATTTTTAAAAAATCCTGAGTGAATCACTAAGCTAGAAGTCATACTCTAATTGTGGCCTCAAAAAGGGGCTTGGTAAGGCGTGAGCTATCAGTTCCCTGAAAGGCCTCTAGCACTACAAGTAATGAGATTGACATCCCATTGTTCAGCCAATGCCCAAAGCCTACAAAAGTATTCCCATCCATTGTCTCAAACCCTCACAGCCAGCAATTGAGCCTGTTGGGGATAAAGATTCTATAAAAAAAAAAAGTTATTAATTGACACTATACACTGCTTGGAGCCAACATTCTGAAACGTGTAAGCTAGTAGTTAGGTTCTGTAAGTGAATACAGCTGTGAGTCATAGCACTCTCCTCACTGTCCTTTTGAAGAAAACCTACATGTATGTAGCAATCCAAACAACTCTTGGGTAAAATTTTAAGTTTGGTTTAAATTATAAGCTATGTGCCATAAAGGGCTACCTTGGCTTCGCTCCATCCCACCTCACTTCATAGCACCTGGTTTGTGAGCCAGGGATGTGACAATTCCTAACCTAGTCTATCAACAGCACAGAAACCCAAAGAGAAAGAAGGTTGGAAACGCAAATGAAATTTAAAGAGCCAGTTTTCAGTGGGCCTTCATTTTGAGAGTGGGGCTATTTTTATACTTATTTTTAGCAACAAATCCATTCCTACCTCTATACCCAAGCATTTGCAAAGAGGATAGCAGGAGAACCACAGGCACAGCTGTCCAATTTACATTCACAAATGCAGGTGTTGCTCAGACACAAAACAGAGGTCAGCTGAATACTGCTCCTAATTAGCTACCTTTCTACTAGGATTTTTCTTTGTAAAGCTATGCATGCAATTTAGGTTCAACTCAGAGACCATTTTTAGATCCCAGCATGCTATCTACCAAGAAGCGGGCTGTCATTATAAAGCATAATTTACAGCACAGTTAATTTTACATGTTTTTTTTTTTTAAATCTACATTCTACCTAAGGCAAAATTCTGTTCTGTATACACATTATCCTCTCTGCTTTCCATCCTTCTCAATGTTTAAAACTTATGGAATGTAGTCAGAAAATCTTTTACGTGTGAGTAAGAAGAATTTGCCCTTTTTCTAAGATTAAGAAAGCTCACAATTTTAATAATGAGGACTAAGGACTTTGTTAAATGATACAAGAAGAGAAGTTGCTTTTTTGCCATTGCATTCAGTGAGGAACACCCTGGGGCTCATTACAGCAGTTCTTAGAAATGGCAGGATGGAGACTGGTATCTAATACAATCCATTAGGAAACCCAAGCACTAAATGAAATGACCACAAAATTCTATCAGTTAACAGAAATGCAGCAGCTGTACATGTTTATTGTAATACAATAGGCTATTATTACAGAGATAACACTCATAAAAAAAAAAAAAAAAGAATCCAGCAAGGGGTATGACCAGTTTATTTCTCTATTTGAAAATATGAGAAAGTACTGTGTAGCAGAGCTTTAGCATACCTATATATAAGCATGGAAATGGCAGAGATAGGCACTGTATGTGCACTAAATGGGCTACCTTCAAAGTCACTGGCTACACTTAAGCCACTTGCAGGCTCTGCAGGATATTCAACATCTAGCCCAAGGGGGACCCTCTCTGACTAGAGACTAAATCTAGGACTTAAGTCTCAGCGCTATCACTCTTTCATCACTGCAGCGTCTGTCCCTGGCCAGGGAGTGACCCACATATGGCACAGCAGACCTCTCCTGTCTCGGCCATTGTTCCCTTCAGTATTTCAGCAGATCAGGTGTTCTGCTCCCCACTCTGTCTCTGGTGAATCCTCTCACCCCCTCCTCCCTACCTCCTGTCTACATTCCAGTTCCTGTATCCATAAATAAATAAAAATGAAATCATTAAAAAAAAAAAAACTTACCCCAATGGCCCTTTGAATAGTGAAAAGTAATGGTTCCCCTCTCCTTGCTAATTTTACCTACTCAAAGTACTCCAAATATTACTTCTTATCTTAGCTCCCAGTTATCCATTTTTCAAATTGTATGTTACAGAAACTGAAATTCCCATTTGACCTTAAATTTTACAATGAACCAAATATATAGAAGTCTCTGTGTGTGTGTGTGTGTGTGTGTGTGTGTGTAGTATTCTGGGCTGATTTTCCAAGTTGAATCAGGTGTCTTTCTTCAAAGGCTTCCTAAAGTAAAATTAATTTGCAGAGTGTAACATGTATCACCAGGTTTGTGACAAATTCATCTTGCATAATTTTATTCACTACAGGCAGTCCATCACGATTCAGACCCATAACCATTCAAAATCAGAGAAAGACAAAAACCCTTGTACTATAGCCATCTTCTGGGATGGAATGCAAAGTATTCTGTTGTGGTAAGTAGGCTTTGAAGACAAAAGCACTGGATCCACTCCTGCAATTGTTACCCCAGTGCTCAGCATTCAAAATAGGAGCCCCTGGATCTCAGAGATCATTGTAATCCCCCCATACTAAAGCAAACACATGTCTCCCATGTGTTGCTCTAACCACCCTCCCCCCAATGCCTCACTGGCCCCTCTCAAGGGAAAGTGAACAATTATTGATGTCCTAAAAGAATTTCAAACAACTTCCTTATTTGCTTCTCTGTTCCAGTGAAGATTAAGAGCCTAATTCTTAGAGCCTGCTCCTAAAATTCTACTCCAATGAATTCTACAGCCTAATTCATTTGGCATTATGGTGTGGGTTTTTTTGGGGTGGTTTCGGGGTGGGTTTTGTTGTTGTTGTTATTTTTGTTCTTTTTTTTCTTTGGCAGAATAATGTGACCCAAATTTCAGGAGATAATTTGCTGCAACAGTGCTTCTAGCAATGCAGTGAGCCTGAGATTAGCATTTTAGGACTGAAAATGTCAGGCTTTAAAAAATAATAGTAATTGTTTGCTTCAAGGAAGGACAGAGTTTGAGCTAGTGTTATGGAAATGGAAATGCTTAGCAAAAGGCCCATGATTTTATAAATTAAGGAAGCATTACAGATTAATGAAAAATAATCAAGAACTAGCAATTTACCTCAATAATTGGTAACAAAATGCTATAGCAGTTCTTTAAAGACTAAGAAATTAACTGTGTGATTGTAAAAAGTCATGCATTCCACTTCCCATCAATGGTGGTAAATACTGTTCTAAAAGGACATTTGCAGATCTGCGATATCTTGAAATAAGCAAGAAACCCTATAGTGGCTGTTCCTGTGTTCACCCACGTGCTTCCCACAAACGCTTGACTGTGTGAACAATGTTGATTCACGTATTGATCATTTCACTTTTTCTCAGTGTAATCATCTTTAATATGAAGGTGTCAAGAGAGATTTGAGTTTTTCTTGACTAGAAAGCGTAGATTTTGGAAATGCAAGAGCAATATTCCAATTGGGAAGAAGTATTAAACTACTGGCCATGCTTCTGTGCCTAGTTTCTTGGCCTTCATAAGAAATCTCTATTTTTTAGAATAAGGAATCTCTTATCTTGGGTGGACTCTAGTCTAAGCGCCCTATGGCTGGAGAGACACGGGAGCTCAGGAAGAGACACCAGCTTGATTCTGTGATCGCCGCGTCCTCATCTGATTCATTCACCCTCTCAGAATTCAAACACCAACACAAGAGAAACTGAAGAGCAGGTTACACATTAAAGGGGGATTCCTTATTCCAAAAGGTTAAATATGACAGAGGAAGAGAACAGGCAAAACAGAAAGAATGAAAGTAAAAGGTGCGCTGTGCGTTCAGCGGGCAGCTACGAGGGCGCATGCGCACAGGGGCTGGCGAGGCCTCCGGCCGCCTCTCTAAGGTGCTCTTACCTTATTTCTCTTGAAGTAGGCTCGTCGGCAGGCTGCAAAGCACTTCTCGCTGCAGAAGCTTTTCACCTCACTTCCCATACTCAGGGAATAGCGCTTGATTCCCACTTTCTGGCACCAGGCACACATTATTTGTACATTTGACACATCATCTTCTATAATAAAAGTATAAGAAAAATGTTCACATCAGAAGCAAACATCCCTTCAAACTTAGACACACCCTGAACTTGACACACTTATTTGAGGTCGGATTTTAATTTCCATTCCTCACTTCCTTTCTGCATATTTGGATAACCCCCCCCCCTTTTGGTGGGAAGGCTGGGGGGTAGGGTCTCTTTTTATGTGTGTGTGACTAGCTAAGTTTCTGAAAGACATCCTTTACTTAAAAACAAGAGCATGACTGCAGAGCCATGAAGTTGCTTAAGGTTTATATCTGATAAAAATACTTAATCAAACCAGGTTCTGTAGTAATGCAGCCTGTTAAAGGACCCATTTCTTCCAAGCTACAGCTGAAAGCTTCCAAGGTCTCCACTGAGCGGGACACCCAGTGCTAATGTACAAATGTGATGCCCTAATGTGAACCTTGACAGTGAGGAGCCAAGCTCAAGCTTGGCACATTCCCTATTACTGTTACATGATATGGGGTGTTGTTTACTCTTGCAAATATATGATTCCCAAGTGATATGGTTAGTCAGAAAAGGAAAGACGTGAAGCCAGGTTCTGCCAATGAAGCGGCATTAGCCTGGCTCACTCAGCAGTCTCCTACATACAGCCTTCCCATGCAGGGGTCCTCAGGGAGACACAGGCCTGATTTAAATTCTATGGCTCTTGAGTCTCTGGATGGAGGCAAAGTAACAAGGATGTCAGTTGGGAGTGGGGTGTCAGCCATTCTCAGACAGATGGGTGGCCCTCCTACCTCCTCTGGGACCCCTCAACATCAGGGGGATGCTTAGAATGATCTCAGGTGGCATGCAAATATTTTTAATACTTAAAATACTGTATTTATTTTTCTTCGTATGAGAAGAAAACAAATTTAGCCAGCACAAGCCCATGTGGGCACAAATTTGACTGCTAAAAAATAAGAAAGATTTTGAAATTGAGTCAATCAATAAAGCATATTAAGTAATTCATGGTGCAAGCGGCAAGAAATTATGACAACAATGTGGTGATACTCAAATGATTGAAGTCTGGGAAATACTGGCTTCTTTGTAGGGAAAGAGACTAAGTAGAAGTCTAAGGACTATTGCTTTGCTGCCTTTTAAGGGCTTTTGCTATAGCCTGAGTTTCCTCAGCCTTACAGTTGACAACCTGTGTGTGCATGTGGCTGGCTGCCACAATTAGCCACATCTTCTTTTCTATGTTTTTGTTTGTTTGTTTGTTTGTTTGTACTAACCCAGACTCATGCTCCAGACATGAATGATAATCACAAAATCCCCAACAAGCTCTGGGATAGGGTTGTGTGATTTCTGAATAAAATCCCTCAAAGTCTAATTGCTAAGCAAGGCCTGGTCCATGACTTGTTGACATATTCATGGTTCTTAGAGTCTGTCATGCAATCACTCCATTTCCAAGCAAAAGATTTGGTTTGAGGCAGTGAGGTCATCAGCCTGCAAAATTAGAAGCAAACTAATTTGTAGTGCAGTGATTAGGCCTTTTTCTCACCCTGAGTATCATCACTCAGAACTAGGTGCAGGATTTGGTTTACCTTAATAAAATAAATACTGTCATCTTAATGACCATTTTTATTTCACAAATTATATATTCTAATATTAGTTATCAAATGAAACACTATAAAAATGACCTTTGATGTTAATCAAATCTTTTTGATAATGTTCTTTAAATGGAGTTAGAACATAAATTCAAATGTCACACAATTACTGCATTTAATAATTGGTTCTGTTAAAAAAAGCTATTATTTATATTTTATATGATTTCTAATATGGCACCTGCCTGATATTGCATATGGCATAAAAATTAATAAAACTCTATTATTTACATTAGAGTATGGAACTTATTTTAATTCTATTAGAAACATTTTTTAAATCTATCATTACTAAACTAACTGGCACTAATAATTTCTATCATTGCCAACAATCAACTGCAATCAATCTTAAATTCCTGAAAAAGAAGATGAGACAGCAGAATTCTCACAAATGATCCACAGGTAATCTGCTTGATTCTGATGAGATCTGTAAGGAAAAAAATTTTTATGGGGGAAATCATTTGCCCTCACAACTCAAAGAGGAGACCCCATTGCCCAAGAATCCATCTTAGTACATGCATCCCATCCCCCTCATTGTTTCCTACCTTTAAGTAGTTTGTTTTGAGAAACAAAATGCAAGCTATTTAATATTTAAGTCTTAGCGCCTTAACTGCAGTGGACTAAAACTGAGATGGCAGCAGGCAGAGAAGAGCTCTGCAATATGCCTGGCTCTTAGCCTGCTCTCTGGCCCACAGGAACGATGCTGGAGGCAAAAGGCAGCACAGGTCTTTCTCAGGCTTCACTCCATCGCCACCAGACAGACAGACAGACAGACCCACTTGTCATTTTTTTAAGGGGAAACAGGATAGTTCCTTACCATAGATCTAGCAAATAAACAAAAGTAAAATTTGAAAGCAGATTATTTGTATAATTCATGTGTGCTAGAAAAAGACATGAGAAAAAGAAATAAAAGAAACGGAGCACTTCCATTTTATATCTGGTGACTGGAAAACTCTTAGAATGGTGGCTAAGCGTCTGTCTTGTTAAATCATTCAATACTCCCATCCACGTTTCATAAAATTCCATTTCATAAAGGCAAACACTTTGAAAAATCCCATTAGATTTCTCCTTCTCTGTCATCAGACTGTTATCAATAGCTATGATCCAAAGGGTCAGCTATGTGGATTATTCCAGAAGTTCCAGAAGACGTTTTCAGACACTCAGATATCCTGGATCTTATAAAAGTCATTTCTATGAATATATTTAAGAACTGTGATTATCTACATTAATTCTGTTAGCTTAAAACATACTACAGGATTCTGTCACCAGACATGAACTGCTGCCCCATTTTAAACAGCATGACTCCACCCCTAAAAAAGTGAACTTTCCTTTCTAAAGTCAAGGGGATTGTTTCATTTCAATAACCACATCTTTCTTTTTTATCTGAAGCCCAGGAGTGATGTGCCTGCTTTACACTGGCAGGCTTTTCTGACTATATTTTATCTTTAACTGCTTTATTTTTAAAAATATTTCTTAAAACTAGGGAAAACTGACCCTCCCTGGTGGCCAGCAGGTTAAAGCACAGCACTAAGAAGCTAAAGTCACTTCAGCATGAGCTTGATCCCCACCCCGGGAGGTGACCCACATAGAGTGGCAGACCTCTCCTGACCCACTAGCTGCTCCCCTCAGCAGCGTACTTTGCCAGTTGACCTCTTCTGCTCCCCACTCTGTCTCTGATGAATCCTCTCACTGCCCCTGTACCTCTGGCCTGTACCCCAGTTCTGTATGAATAAATAAATCTTAAAAAAAAAAAAACTAAGGAAAACTTCATTTCCTGTCTTTTATTTAAATCTTTAGGCTAAAGAGCTGCCACTAGAGAATTACTGTTACCTCAAAGAAGATTCACATAATGGAATTTCCTTATGGCCTTTAAATAGTGTATTTTTCATAATGAACAATGCAAAAAGAAACACAAAATATTTACAGCCTCAAATCACATTCCCAAAGTGAATAGTTTGTATAACATGATACATTTTCATATGATAATATCATATAAATATGCATCAGTCAAAATATGCATGTTTCAATTAATCAAGAAAAGTTTATACTACCTCCTTAGGAATTAATTAAGCAAAATGTTTAGGGCATTTTTCTTCCAATCTAATGTTCAAAGAGTCAAAGAACATCATTCTATTTTACATCCCAGAAGGCAAAGTTCAGAATAATTATTCTTAGATGAAATCAAAATTGTATTTATTTATCATAGCAGAGACACACAAGACCAAGAATTTCTGGAATGCTTTGCTAAAGTTGTTTGAGAAATTGCCTTATCTGGTGAATTTTGAAAATAAGGTGGGCCATTGGTCAGTGTGATATTTGAGGGGCATCTGAATATGTGGTGAACTTGCATACTGACAAGAGACCCCCTTTGCAAAAATCAAGAGAACTTAATGAGGCCCAACTGATGCAGATTTTACAGCCCTCTATAGCTTTCATGGGCATTCATGACTAAGGAAAAAAATTTAAGGTATTTGCTGATGTTGTTTCTCTCCTCCACTATTTCCTAGAAGGTACCTATCCAGACTATAATTTGAAAACAGACAAACTGAAAGGCAGTCTGAAGTGACTCTTCTGCCATGGATCGAAAGTATGGCTTGAAATGAGTCCACTGCTAATCTATTTGTTGGAGCCGCTATATTTAGGAACAGAATAAAGATGTGGCTTGGGAGACAGACTAGAAAACAGGGTTAAAGTGTTCTTTCCTATGGTGATGGCACATGGGTGATTTGGTGAAGGGAAGCCGAAGGGGATTGCAACTGAGATGGAAACATGCACAAAATTATGTAAAAATAAACAATTATATTATACATAGTGTTCTTTCTTCTTTCTGGAATAATTTCATTCTAAAAACTTGAAGGCGATCCTGTTTAAAAGTCTCTATAACATCCTCAGAAGCTCCTGTATAACTCCCTGTGTTTTAGAATTGAACGTACAAGAGATCCAGCGAAAATTGGGATAGCTAAGCCAAAAAGAAAATAATCATAGCTAGTCATCATTCAGTAGTTAGTAGGTCCCAGGTTTGGAGCAAAGTTCTTTGAATTTCTCATTTAAATCTTAATGACAACTAACACCCTCCAAAGCTTGGCTAAACCTAGAGATTCCACAGCATCCATATAAGCTTCCCTCCACAGAAAGGACTAGAAGCTTACTTACACAGCACAGCCCTCCATGACACATAAATGGGTGAAGAAAATGGAATCAAAAAGGACAAAATGTCTTTGAGGAGACAGCTGAAGTATTACTCAATCAATATTTGTTGACTGATTTTTTTAAAGAAAGTTACAGGCTACAGTGCATGCCTTTACTCTGCATCACTAGGAAACATGGATTTGCTGCAAACATTCTGTCTGAACTTGCACAAGCAAGTGCTACTTAAACATTCAATGATGAGAC